TTTACCCTTACAAAGTAATATAGATACCTCACACCCACTGAATTCAATGGTGCTACTAATGTAAGGTGTCTGTGCGACGTTTACATTTTGTAGGTCAATGTAAAGGCCTAATTTGATAGTTGGAGGTCCTTCTCATCTGGCACCATCTAAATACGTTTAGTGTCTCTCTAAACATTCCTCCTTTTTGTTTAGTCCTGTACAATTATTCCCCCGACCCAGTGATCTCTTCTTCTTTTGTTTTTATTCCCCTGTCTATGTGGAGGATGCTAGAATCGCACAATTAAAATTGTAAGGGTTGTTGCTGTTTTCACAAAAAATGCTATGCATTGCAGGCTAATAGGTGAGCCAATCCTAAATAATCAAGCTCTCGAATGAGCATAAAGCCTCAGATGTCCCTCCAGACCTTTGCTGATTTCTGACGTAATACAGAAAAGTCGGGAATAGACGTCCCAAAGGTAACCATTTCAGACGCTGAAGCAGACAGTACAGCTGAGACAGAGAAGCTCCTGGTTGATGAGCGTGTCAGGAAGGGGTACGCTTGAGGATCAATACACCGAGAAACGAGGACAGTCCTATAGAAGAGGCTCTGCTAGCTGAAGAGATATCTTCATATTCAAGTTTTACATAGCAGCAGCAGCAGCCGTTATTGACAATGAACGGACAGTTGAATGGTTTTCATAACGCCCTCATTGATGAGGATTGTTTCTTGTTCACCTCAGAGTCTGTCGGGGAAGGACATCCCGACAAGATCTGTGATCAGGACCCTGATGCCAAAGTTGCATGTGAGACTGTTGCCAAAACTGGGATGATCCTATTGGCCGGTGAGGTGACATCACGTGCCAACGTGGACTACCAGAAAGTTGTTCGTGACACAATCCGCCAAATTAGATATGACGACTCCTCTAAAGGTTTTGACTACAAGACCTGCAATGTTCTTGTGGCCTTGGAGCAGCAGTCTCCTGACATCGCTCAGGGTGTTCACATTGACCGCAATGAGGAGGACATAGGGGCAGGGGACCAGGGCTTGATGTTTGGATATGCCACGGATGAGACTGAGGAGTGTATGCCTCTCACAATTGTCCTTGCCCACAAACTGAATAGTAAGATGGCCGAGCTGCATCGCAATGGCACCCTTCCATGGCTCCCGCTAGACTCAAAGACACAGGTTACCGTCCAGTACCGCCAAGACCATGGCGCCATGCTTCCAATGCGTGTGCACACCGTTGTGGTCTCTGTTCAGCATGATGAAGATATTTGCCTAGAGGAGATGAGAGACACCCTGAAGGAAAATGTGGTCAAAGCTGTGGTTCCATGCAGCTATTTGGATGATGACACAATCTACCATCTGCAGCCCAGCGGACAATTTGTTATTGGAGGCCCGCAGGGGGATGCCGGCCTGACGGGGCGTAAAATCATTGTTGACACTTATGGAGGCTGGGGAACCCATGGCGGTGGGGCCTTCTCTGGGAAGGATTACACCAAGGTGGACCGCTCGGCTGCTTATGCCGCATGCTGGGTGGCCAAGTCTCTGGTGAAGGCTGAGCTCTGCAGGAGAGTGTGTGTGAGATCCTTGTGGCTGCAGGCTGTGGTCAGGGAGAAACAGCAGGATTGAGGCTGTGTGTCATGTGTTCCTGACTTAATAAATGCCCACACCGGGTTGTATTTTGGACGTTCTGCCTCTGCCTCCTTGCTTGGTCGGGCCGCTCAATTGTCAGCTTCACAATCAGTCCTAACTTCCGAGAGCTTTCTGGAAGGTGCCGGTGCAGGGCGACAATGTGTCAGGTGGTGCCAATTTGCTCCTTTTTTTACCTTTTATCCGGAGAGCGTGTGAAGTTCTTTCAACAACTTCCCACTGACCCGTCCACCTGGGTTCAGCCCACTTTCTTTTGTGAACTTTCAACCTAACCCAATCACCTGGCCGTTGTAGGAGCAAACACAGTAGTGGTGGCTTAAAGCCCACTTCTGCTCCGCGCCGTCCGTTTAGATGAGCCTGGTCAGATTAATAAAAGAAGGAGTTCAAAACACCGGCATAAAAGTTATAACAATAATCTGATTTTAATGGTAAAAAACACAATACGAAATACAGAGTGCCCTGTAAACAGAGCACTCCGGGCTCCCCGCTCTACTGCCGTGCGATACAGATATCGGGACCAGCCAGTCAGAAACAGGGGGCATTTTACATGAATAAACAACAGTATATATGGACATATTTGGGGCGGAGAGTCACTTCTTATCTTCCACCGGACTCCACTCCTTTAATTTCCCAAGGAAGGTTTCACACAAACTATTCTTTCCCAGACAATCAAACATTGTACACAGATATATTGGTGCTTGAGATTATATTGGCCCCAGAAAGAACCTTGAAAATAACCTGTGTGTGTGCTGGTGGGGGGAAGTGTATGTGTGTGTGTGTGTGTGTGTGTGCTGATATCTGGGTCAGGAAGTGTATGTGTGTGTGTGTGCTGATATCTGGGTCAGGAAGTGTATGTGTGTGTGTGTGTGCTGATGGGAGGAAGTGTATGTGTGTTGTTGGAGATTTAAAGGGATATCTGATCCGCTTTTCAAATCTCCGCGCGTTCCTATGAAGCTGGTTATAATACAGGAAGGAATCCATATCTACAAAGTAACCGTTAACAATAATCTACTTTAATGGCAATATGACAATGCAATACAATCATTACAATACAACATGATATATTACAGTTATATTGTAATGCTTAAGGAGTAATGCCGGCTTACTCCTGCCCTGGTCCGCATACTGCAGAGCTACTTTCACCCGAGGGCAGCATGTGAAGAAGAGGCCGAACGCCAGGGATCCACCGGATATATACCAGAGTAAGAAGGAGGGGTTTGGTGTTAGGTCAGCTGGTCATCTCTTCAGGTCATCTCATTGGGAGACGCAACGCTGGCCAGCAGGAAACCAAACAGGCTCACTTTCCAACAAAAGGTCTCAAGGCCTGCATACCTACACCTCCCCCACAGAGCAATAAAACCCTGTTTACTCCAACCAGCCCAGAATGTTTATAGCCATTTGTAGTCCTTACATTTATGAAAGGATAAAACAGAGAAATCAATATAAAACACAAACACAGGTATTGTTTGAACAGTATTCACTTAACTGCTACTGTTGATAACCACCAGAGAAACCCAAGGGACCTCCCTTAATATCACAACCACTGTAGCTCGTTCTAAGTTGAATGCAAATCAGGACATGCTCTCACCTTCCCCCATCTTCCTTTGTCCTCAAAACACATGTCAACAGGCCCCAAATGCAGCTCACAGTTTTACCCAAATTATTCCCATTTTAAGCTTATCCATAGTTTGCTAACATGAATAAATACAAATATAACTCTACAGTGTGTGTCAGGGTCTCTGGGTCATGGAGTGTAAGTAAGAAGGTTTATATACAGGGCTGCACATAACTGGTGCGCAGGTGCGCATGCGCACCTCCGCCAAAAAAAGAGCACCGGGTCATTTGAAAAAAGGCGCATTTTCGTACCAACATTGAGAGAGAGAGAGGGAAGAGAGAAAAGAGAGAGAAGAGAGAGAGAAAGATATTTGTGAGTTACATATGAACCTATGATATGAAGTCAGGGCCGGCCCGTAGCCGCGTTATAGATGTTCGCCTAGGGCGCCAGATCTGGAGAGTCGCTGCGCTGGCAGTTCTGGGAGGGAAGAAAACATTTTTGACCGTTGGGGCTCATCCTAATGTTCGGCCTTGATGTAACAATATTCATAATTAAAGGTCCCATGTCATGGCCATTTCCACTGATCATAATTCCATTGTTGAGGTCTACTCGAATAGATTTATACTGTGTAATTTTCCAAACTCACATTGGTTTCGCATTCAGCATCTCTGTAAACTACGTGTATTCACTCTCTCCACTAAACGGCTCGTTGCAGCTCTTGCCCCCCCCCTCCCTGTGAGCCCAGTGTGCTCCGATTGGTCAGGACCAGTCGGGACGTTGTGAATCACGCTGAGCTCCGCGGAGGTGTGATTTCCTTGTTTAGCGATACACAGCCAAACTCATCCTGAGCACACACAAAGTCACAGCCGAAGTAAAAACAATAAGTGTGGCTTGATATTGAGTAAGAAAAAGGTTGATACACGCTGTGAGAATGGGTCTGCAGAGAGAATGGGTCTGCAGAGAGAATGGGTCTGCAGAGAGAATTTCGCCGCGATCCCAACTGTCTGTTATCAGCCTGCAGCCAGGGAGGAGAAATCAGCAGAGCTGCCTGCACTGAGTGTGTGAGGAAGTCCGTGGATTGGTCAATTTGGACCAATCAGCGGGGGCTTAACGTAACGGCTCCGCGGACGTAACGTAACGGCTCCACGGATTGGTCCATTTCGTTCCGGGATGACATGACATCATGATGTACCCGGAAGAATCAAATGAACAGTGACGTATCTCCAACGAGGCGTTTTGGGAGGTATTTTCTGTGTTAGAGTTTTACTCGCTACATGGTGTACTTTGAGGGTTTTGACTCTGCACACCATTTACATGCATAAAAACCTTAATAACACACAAGGGGACGGGTAATAACCGGAAAAGCATGACATGTCACCTGTAAGTAAATGTAACACCCTTTTCACCCCGGTTACACGTTTAATTTGCCCTGTACGATGGGCGCTGTAAGTGATGAAAATGGGGGATGTTGGCTTATCTGGCGCCCGCAGCTCACAGCCAAAATGCGAGTGAGCGAGGGAGGGTGCACCGGTACCGGCGCTGTTGTTATTAGAATCTGGTGCTAGCTGCTCTAACGGATATAAGAAGAAGATGTTTCTACAATAATGTGGAGGGAGAGTCCTCTCCAGTCAGACCGAGAGGCTGATAACTACAGCTCAGTGAGGTAAAGGACTCTGAGTGTTTAGATAGTTCACTTTAGTCTAAGTTCAAACGGTTTGGTCACAATTTATGCAAACACATATTTCCAAGGCACTCCTTTATAATTATTGGGATAAACAGGTTTGAAATCATTCCAATGTATACTATAGGACAGTAACCAAACATATCCTTTAAAACTGGAGAGATAAAAAAAATGCATAAATAAATGTTAAGGTAAAATAAGATATGAATGAACAACACAAATAAAATAAGTTACATTCATTTTTTATTGGCTATGGTAGGTTATTGGTTATGTTCACATACTTATTTTATTACATCCACTTGTCTAAGATGACAACAGAGACTTTCAACCCAAAACTAGCTGTTGACTTGTGGATGTAAGCAGCTAATCACAGACTCAACCAGAGAGAAAGAAGTAGGCCTACATCATCAGCTACCATGTCTGACAGAGAGGAAGACAGTGAGGAGAACAGTCAGGAGGGTAGTGATGACAGCTTGTAGGATTACTGGTCGTGCTAATGTTGTCTTGTGTTCACCTCTGCATGTGTGTTCTGTGTTCACCTCTGCACGTGTGTTCAGTGCCGTGTGTCTGGCAAATAAAGTCAAGACCCCCTCAAAAGTTATGGTTTATTTCATTTTAAGGATGAGCACCAAGCAACATCTCCAGGTGCTCCTTTGAGAACCAGGGCAAAAAAGTGATGTGCACCCCTGTTTATATATATAGGATTACTTTAAAACAGTCCCAAATAATACATGTTCACTTCAATACAGTTCAAGATAATACCTGTTTACTTTAATACAGTTTAGAACAATATCTGTTTGCTTTACCGTACAGGAGTCTCTTCTGGTGTCTCGTCTGGTGTCTCTGCAGTTCTCTGAACCTGTGTAGACAAGACTTGGATAATATTACTCAGGGCCCTGACCATAGACTGTATATATAAATGGACGTAGGGTCCGTGACGTCACCCATAGGATTCTGCAGAGTTGCCGTGAAGCCCTTAGTAGGCGGAGTCGGCCACTAACGGCTCGACGGTGTCGTCAGAGTCTAACTCCCGCCTTCTCCAAATAAGGGCAAAGAGGCGGAGCTGAGGCGGGACAGGGCGGGACCTGCTGCCAACGAGCGTGACGTTCGAGTCCTAGCTCAGGCTAAGAAGCTAAGCTACCATGCTCTCAGTATCAATCGAATGTAAAACATGATTGATGAAAGTAGTAAATCGGTCAGATTTGACCCGAAGACAACAGGAGGGTTAATGCCATATTCCCTTAGTAACGCATGAACAACTTTTACAAATATTTCTATATATCTGTGTTGGTAAATGTCATCTAGGTTGCACATTTCCTGCTGAAATACATGCATACCCAAGTCACTGCGTGGCACTTTGGTTTTGATAAAACAGTGTAGTTCCACTATATAAACGTTACATTCATAATCAAACGAGACAATCTGCAAGATAATTAGCTATTTTGTATTATTCTTAATGCTTGTCATTCACACGTTAATAAAATAAGTACCGATACATAGCAGAATAATTGTGGCGGTGTTCAGCTTAATAAGCCTTGCTCAACATCATTTATTTAGCTAATACTACAGCGGGCTGCAGGCGAACCAAGTCCGCGTTACGATGCATTCCTTGATCTCCAGTTATAACGCCGGACTACGCTGCTGGCCGAAGCTAACGGAGCCCCAGGGTGCTAGCTACGGCCGCCGGGACGCGCTAGCGAGCTAGCACCCTGCAGCCCCGTTAGCTTCGGCGGCGTGGACTCCGGCGGCCCACCCCTTTTAACATTTGCTCCCATTTAGCATTATGGGCGTCATAGCCATATAGTATAAAAGTCTTACCCAAGGCTGCATCATAAACTAAACTGTATATATGTATAAAGGGTTACGTCCTTAGCTGGCTAATAAGCTACATAACAGGCTAAGCTAACAAGCACACAAACACCTGCTAACGGGGTTAACATGTATAATATTATCATTTTACTCACCGAAAAAAGCTGAAAGTAGACTTCTTGGAAGATCTGTTAGTACATTCAAGCGCACAGCACGACATTTTAATTATCTGGTATTTGTAACAATATTCCCTAACAGGCACGATCACCACGAACACAGCTAAAGGATCAAGTACAGTAACTACAACTAACTAACGTTGTAGCCTCTATGGTTGTAGCCTAGCAGATTGGACAAGTTGCTGTTAGCTGACAGTGAGGCACGTATCTGTCAATCAAAGTGACCACGCCCTAATGTATGCACAAACTTTAAGACCTAATATAAATATAAAGAGTCGCGTTAGAAAACAATTCACTCACAGATCCATAATCATGAAGGTGGAATCTAACTATATCGATAATAAAATGTATGGAGCCAGGGGTAGAAACATGTTTTTTTCTACTGTAAAATCGGGCATTTTAACATGGGGGTCTATGGAAATTGCTCCTTTCTGCAGCCATCGCCTATCGGCCAATATATGAACTGCAGTGTGTGGCACTTCCGTATTGGCTTCCCGGCTCTACCCCACAGTTTGCCGCTTGGCCCTGACATATTCATCCACTTCAATTTGTCTGATGTCTAAAACTGGGCCACTCCCTCCTTCTCTAGGAGGCCCAGGCATTGGCCTACCAGTTAACAACTCATGGGGTGAAAGATGTGTTTTAGTACCCTCAGAAGATCTCATTGACATGAGTGCCAAAGGCAAAGCATCGACCCATTTCATGTTTGTGCCAAAAATGACTTTTGCAATTTTCCCTTTTAACCTCTTAAGCCCGGCCCGCGATACTAAAGATTACAGTTAATTTGTTTGTTCTAAACTGTATTAAAGTAAACATGTATTATTTTAAACTGTATTGAAGTGAACATGTATTATTTGGGACTGTTTTAAAGTAATCTTATATATATAACCTTCTCACTTACACTCACTGACCCAGATACCAGCCCACACACATATTCTTTTCAAGGTTCTTTCTGGGGCCAATATAATCTCAAGCACCAATATATCTGTGTACAATGTTTGATTGTCTGGGAAAGAATAGTTTGTGTGAAATATTCCTTGGGAAAGTAAAGGAGTGAAGTCAGGTGCAAGATAAAGATTGACTCTGTACTTGTTTACTTCCGAAGCTGTCACGCTCTGTTCAGAAGTAAGGCACCAATATATCTGTGTACAATGTTTGATTGTCTGGGAAAGAATAGTTTGTGTGAAATATTCCTTGGGAAAGTAAAGGAGTGAATTCAGGTGCAAGATAAAGATTGAGCCGCATTTAAGTTTATTTTGTTTTGATTTATTTGGAACCTTTATTAATGCATTTTTCTGTTTCAGTGAGAGGTGTGCTTTGCTCAGGTGAAGGGGGCGGGGCTAAGGCTTTAAATTGGAGGTGCGGTGTGTGACGGGAGTACAGCAGGCAGCAGCAATACCGTCATTGACACGCAGACGCAACCTTATGCTTAGTCAAATACAGATTATTAGGATCTGCTGTTTAAGTTTATGTTACATATTGTTTTCGTATTTTGTTTTACTGGAAATAAACGTTGAAAAGCAACTGAAACGTCCAGTGGATTGTGTACTGCGAGTCTGACACTGCTTCCGAGGCCCAAGCTCTACATATGGCCAAGAACAATAACTTTTGAGGTGAAGGTTACAAGACAAACTTTTTGGGATTTTGGCCACTACAATTAGTCAATGACGCGCTGTGATTGGAAACACGAGGACTATTGGAGGATCAAAGGGGTCGTAGGAATCTAAGACAAAGGAAACGCCGGCCAAACGCGTGGCGGACCAAACAAAGAAACACTTCGGAGGAGGTATGAGCTTTCAGATCAAATATCACTGAAGGATTATTCGTTTGGAAGAAATACCTGAAGTGTTTAGAAACAGATTTCACCGCTGACATTTGTGTTTATGGACAGTGAATCTTTTATTTGTCAACTTTCTGTGACGAAGAAAAAGAGAGCAGCGGTGAAATACAGCCTCTTATAAATGAACATATGAAGTCACCTGAGTTAAGTGTTGAAAATACAAGGATATCGGAGCCACAAGAACTGTTTCTAAACCTTTTGAAGACTTTTTGGAAGTTTATATTGGATTAAAATGGCGAGTTCTGATGAGGCGGAATCGACACCTGCAGACACGGATGAGGCTGCGGCGCAGCTGCGCTCATCAAGAACAGGAAAAGCTTCGCATTTAACACGGAGAATGAACATTGTGAACAACCTAATGACCGATAAGGAATATCTGGATGAAGTCAAAGGCAATATGTTGAAGTTTAACGAACTTTCGGTTGATTTTAAAGCATTGCATGTATCATATGCGCAAATGTTGGATGAGAGCGCAAGAAAAGAGGACGATGAGAAATGGTATCAGCCGAGATGTACGCACATAAACTCATTCCTTGCCAAAGTTACGAAATGGATAACTGACATAGAAAATGCTGATTCACTCAACTTGACTCAAGTGGAAGGTCTGCCAGCTGAAGAAGGTGCATATGCAAATGAAGGCGGCGGTCTGAGCGAGGTGGATACACACTCAGTGAGGTCCATAACATCAAGCCACTCTTCCTCCTGCTCATTACGCATCAATGCTGAGGCAGAGAGAGCAGCCTTATTGGCCAAAGCTTCTATGTTACAAGAAAAACATGCCATTGAAGAACAGGAACAAATATTACAAAAAAGAAGAGAAACACTAGAATTACACACAGAAATAGCAGCCAACACAGCCACAATTAATTATCTTAAAGACAATGAATTAGCTAGGCTTGGCCCTGTACAGGCTGAAGCAGCAGCTACCACACTGATGGATACAAAGCCAGGTATTTCACTTCATCCTTATGACAGAGGTGCTCCAGTTGTTAGGAGCAAGGCAGGCGCCCCACTTCACTTTCCCTTTTTGAATGTCCGTGAAGATAACGCACACAGTTGGCCTGATATTCATCATGAAGACAGCATTAATGATCAGCATCAGCCACAACCAACCTCAGTGCACAATATTCCACCTGTCATACCCCAAAACACACAGCCAACTCTGCCACAAGGACAAAGCCCCCCTACGCCCAGCACAGCAAAGGATCACCACATGATTCAAATACTTGAAAATCAAAGCAGCTTGACGAGGATACTTGTGAAACAACAACTTCTCTCGACACTGCCACAAGGAAATATTCCACCCTTTGATGGACACATCATGGAGTACAAGTCCTTTATTCACTCCTTTGAACATTGTATTGAAAACAAAACAGACAACAACAGAGACAGGTTGCAGTTCCTTATACAGTTCACCAGAGGCCAAGCTCAGCGGCTAGTCAAAAGCTGTGAATACATGTCTCCAGACAGAGGCTATCAGAAAGCAAAACGTTTACTGAAGGAGAACTTTGGGAACGAATACAAACTCTCTTGTGCTTACCTGGAAAAAGCTCTATCCTGGCCCCTAGTTAAATCTGAAGATTCAAGGTCGCTGCAGGATTATGCCACGTTTCTAAGGAGTTGCTGCAACGCTATGGAGGAAATGGAGTACTTGGAGGAACTAGACACAGTGTCCAACATGAGAAGCATTGTGCTTAAGCTTCCATACAAGCTCAGGGAGAGATGGCGCAGCAAAGCTTACGCACTGCAAGAGGAGCGCAGTCGTAGGGTAAGGATTTTAGACCTTGTCTATTTCATTGAAAGGCAAGCTCGCATAGCAGCAGACCCAGTTTTTGGTGACCTTCAAGACCAGTCAGCTGCCAAAGGAAAGGTGGCTGTAAAGACTAGATGTCCTGTTAAGTCGCAGATCTCAAAGGCGTATGACAGCAGTTTTGCCACAGGTGTCACTATTTCCCCAAAAGAAACAGAGCCTGAACCCTCCTGTCCCTTCTGTAGGTGCAAGCACACATTGGAACTGTGCAAACGGTTCTTTGAAGAAACACATAGGAACAAGCTGAACTTTGTAAAGATCAAGGGCATATGCTTTGGCTGTCTCTCTATTGGCCACATTAGTAGAGACTGTAAACAACGCCTCACCTGTACGTTTGCAAGCAAGCCCACCCAAGTGCCCTGCACCTCTATGTTAAAGATGGTCAGACTAAACAGACTGAAAGGCCCTCTGGTGTAGCAGGCAGAACATCAGCAGAGTTATGTGGCCACATAGGGGCCGGAGAACAAAATAATGTGCTGTCCATTGTCCCAGTGCAAGTTAAGGCAGCAAAAGGCAGTCAAGTCTTTCAAGTCTATGCCCTCCTGGACCCTGGTTCCACCGCTACCTTCTGCTCCGAAGCGCTGATGTCTAAACTCAATCTGAAAAGCAGAAAAACACATATTCTGTTAAGCACAATGAATCAGAAAAAACTGGTGCCATCTCATGTCATACCTGGAATTGAAGTTTCAGCACTGAACAGCGACAACTTCTTACCTCTTCCTGACGTTTTCACCCAGAGAGAAATGCCAGTCACCTCCAGTAGCATTCCCAACCAGAATGACTTAACGCAGTGGGCGTACCTGAATAAAGTCAAACTTCCCAGTATCAGTGCTAAAGTGGAATTATTAGTTGGCACGAATGCTCCAAAGCTGTTAGAGCCATGGGAGGTTATTAATAGCCAAGGTGAGGGTCCCTACGCAGTAAAAACTCTATTGGGGTGGGTTGTAAATGGGCCACTCAGAAATGGCGGTGAGGGCAGTACGGCAAGAGTGACTGTGAATAGGATATCTGCCACAAGTTTGGAAGAGCTTCTAATGTCACAGTACAACCAGGACGAAGTGTCATCTGAGGAAAAGCCAGAGATGTCAGTTGAGGACAAAATGTTTTTGAAAGTAGCCAGTGAGGCTACCCTGCAAAACGGACACTACAGTCTAAAGTTGCCTTTCAGGAAAGCCAATGTCAGCATGCCTAACAACCGCCAAATTGCAGAACAGCACCTGCAGGGCTTAAAAAGGAAGATAAAGAGGGACCAGCACTACAAGCAGGAATACGTTGCATTCCTCAACGACATCTTGGAGAACAACTATGCAGAGGAGGTCCCACAGGAAGATCTGACACAGTCACCCGGACACAAATGGTACATGCCACACCATGGGGTGTACCACCCCAAAAAGAAAAAGCTTAGAGTGGTTTTTGACTGTGCAGCCTCTTACCAAGGCATGTCCCTGAACACAGAGCTACTGCAGGGACCTGATCTGAATAATTATCTTGTGGGAGTCATTGTGAGATTTCGCAAAGAGCCAATTGGATTTATGGCCGACATAAAATCAATGTTCCATCAGGTCAGAATGGATAAATCTCATGTGGACTACTTGCGGGTTCTGTGGTGGCCACAAGGTGATACCAGTAAGCCCCCAAAAGAATATCGCATGCTGGTGCACATTTTTGGTGCCGTGTCCTCCCCAAGCTGTGCAATTTTTGCGCTACAAAAGACGGCTGAAGACAATGAACATGGGTTCCCACCTCAAGTAGCTGAAACTGTCCGAAGCAACTTTTATGTTGACGACTGTGTAAAGTCTGTCGCAAAAGAAACTGAAGCCATCCAGCTAGTAAAGGCCCTGTCACACTGTCCCGAAATTGACACCCGATGGACACACGAATATGGAATTGTGAATTTCGCACGAAGATGGCCCCGAACCACACACGAAGGCAACATTTACATTACATTTAAGACATACAACTGCAATGAAAGTACCAAAAACAATTATGTTACAGT